CTGAAGCTCTGACTGCTACGTCACACTGGCTGTCATACAGGGGCCATCTCAGCAGGATATAAGGACACAGGGTCCACCATTTTCTCCACGGGAACTGATCTCTGCCATCTGAAAAGCAGTTGTAATTCTGAGTGATCTTTAGCCCTCACCTGGAGATTTGCAACCATGGTTTCCCCCAACAGACACTAAGGGGAAATTTATTTTACCTCAGAACATCAACAGCGAACTGTTTAGAATGTTAGAGGGAAAGGTCAGTGAGGCCGCATATGCAAACGACCTCTGTGTTCCGAGGCAAAGGCGAATCAGGCCACATATGCAAATGACCTCTGTGGTCTGACTGGCTGTGGGGGGGGGAGAGGAAGAGCAAACTGTTTAGAATGTTGGAGGCAGGACTCAGGCAAAGCAGCCAGTGGATAGGGAGACCCTCTGGATGACAGATCAGAGAGCGAACTGATTTTGGAGTGTGTTGGAATGTTCAGGGGAGTCCATGACCAAAATAGAATTATATGTACTGAAGGATTGGTTCCCCCACCACCACCAAATTAAAAAATTGCAAGAATGGTTTCTTTCAACAGTTCTCAGCCTGCATGCAAGTGTACCTTCAGATGCTTCACAGTGAAAGCTTTAAATAAGCAGATCAATAATGCTGGTATGTTATATTTATGACACCCAGCTCTACCTTTCATTATCAGGCAATCCAGAGCATCTATGGCAGACCCAAACCAGCATCTGAAGTCCACAGTAGGAGGATGCTCTTAAACCAACTGATACAGAATGTGGAAATGTATCATTCTGCTGTACAGCTCAAACATCCCAGCAAGATAGAAATTTCATGCGATAGGTGAGATTTCTTTTTTCTGAACTGGTGGGGATTTCCAGTCTAGGAGGGCTTCTTGACCTGGTGCTGTTCCAAGAGTCTCATATTGCAGCTGTAGCTAGAAAAATACTTTTATCAGATACATCTGATGCAGAGGCTGTGCCCTTTTCTAGGAATAGTTTATCCTGTCTTCATCAAATACATCTTTATAGCCTAAGGACTGGCTACTACAATGTGCTTCATGTGGCGTGCCCTTGAAGAGGGCTGAAAAGCCTGTGAGGGCAGAATGCAGCAGACTGGGGAGGCTTGAAAGACTGAGGAAATGCAAGCATGGAGGAGGAGCAGCAGGATGCATGCTCAGTCAGCGCCGCCTCATCTGTGCTGGCGACCTGCGCAATCCCAGGCGACCTGCGCAGGGGCCTAAGCCATAAACAGCTGTATTAATTTTGACCTATAAACCCCTAAACATTCTCGGCCATGCAAATTATGTCCATGTCACAAGGCCCATGTCAGACCTCCTCATCACCCACAACACCCTGTCACACATTACTGAACAACCTTCAGTGCCCTTCTGTACAGTGAAAGCAGGTGTCACCCACAGGGAGGAAGGGCTGTGCCTCAGTGGAGGAGCCTCTGCTTTGCATGCAGAGTTCAATCCCTGGCATCCCCCGCTCAAAGAACCAGGCAAT